CAAAACATTATTATTTGGCTGGTTTTATAGTCATAGATTATACATTTTAGTGTCAACATTGCTTCATGTTTCGTAAATTCTCAGTCAAAACAAAGCATGTAATCATACGATGTATTGTGTTCTGGTTACCAAATTATGAAATTCACTTCAAGATTTGTTTTGGTCTGAAACTTGTTTATTCTTTGCATCACAGCATCACTTTTCTAGAAAACATGACAACCTTTGTGGATGGGTGGGGGTTTGAGCATTAATTTCAGTTTCCTTTTTATTTCTTAAAACAAAATCAAATACGATATTGCCTCCAATTTTGAAAAAAAATATACTATTCGGTCGAAGGCTCCTCAGTATTGATCGGGAGTTGATAATTCTCAGCAAAAGGGTAGTACTAGCGCCCAGATGTCCGAACGGACACCCGCGGCTGCTGCATGCCCGCGCCATGTGGGGACCGCCCGCGTCGCTCCCCGTGCTCCCCCCTCTGCTTCCCGCGCCCATAGCCGCGCAACGCTCCATCCCTCTGCTTCCCACATACATGCACGGCGCCCCAGCAGCTACAGCAGGTGGCTATGGCAGGTGAGTCATATTGCAATATGTACAACACTCGATCCACTTCTGAAACATCTAGATGAAACATTTGTAACATACGTATGAAGACAGATGAAACACTCGAAATATGCATTTGAAACACTTGCAAAAGCACCTGAAAACACTTGAAAAGCCATTGTAAAACATATACAACATCCAGATAAAAACACTTGCAACATATATGTGAAACCTAAATAAAAACACTTGCAACATACGTCTGGAAAAAATATATGAAACATTTGAAATAGACGCTTGCAATGTACGTGTATAACCATTGCAACATATGCAACATTCATATGAAACACTTGCAATATACCTCTAGGACATCTGAAACAATTGAAACATATATTTGCAACATAGGAGGGGGAGGCCGGGACAGGTCGATTCCGGCCATAAGGGTGTGAGACGGCGGAGAGCGGCAGCTCGCGAGCACCACCGGTACCGGCCGCGCTCGTGGGTGCCCCTTGGCTCGGCAGGGGACGACCTGAGGCGCCCCGGCACGTGCGCCCAGCCGCCATCGGCAGGGGCAATGACGAGGCATCCCGACGGTGCTGGGTTGGGGAAGAGGTCGGTGAGGCGCTGCGCGAAATGAGGGAGGTGGCGGCATGGTCGGCTTGGGTGGAGGAAGAAGGCAGCAATGGCGGCACGGCGAGGGCGAGACGGAGCGGGGATATTTTTTTCTTGAGAGAAGCGGACGAGGTAGAGTGAGATGCTGCGTCCGAACGGACGCGAGCAGACGGATGTCCGTGTCGAAGTATTTCCGTTAGCGGAAACAGCGGACCTTGCACAAGCACAACACCTTAGGTAGGAGCAAAGAGATGTTCACAGGTATTATATGAATTTCTGATAACCTCTTCGTTCGTCGGTGTAGAGTGTATTTTCGAAAGGAGTAGTCTTCAAACATAAGTTTTGACAATTGATTCACTATAGAATCAACATCTCTTCGACAATAGTTCGAATACCAATGAACTGGATGTAACTTCTACCGCACTAAACATGTATATGATTTTGATTACTTATTGGTCCAAGTTAAATTTGTAAAGTTTAACTTTTCTTAAAACAAAATGGACCTGTTTGATGGATGAAGGAAGTATTAACGGCAAATTCTAGTGTTTGGTTGAGCATTGTAGCTGTATTGGGTCCGACCTCTTGCACTCTTAGGTCCTGTTTTATATAGCTCAGCTTCGCTAGTAAAGTAATTTTTTTAGCTTTAATTCCATATAGCAGCTTCACCAATGAAGTTAAAGCCGTTTTCAAAAAATATTTGGTAAAAACAGCTTTTCAGGGAAGATAGCAAAGAGAAAGCTGAGAGAAACTAGTATTTTTTAAGCTTCGCCTAGCTTCACCATGGAAACTGTGCATATGAGAGAAGCTGAAAAACAACTTCTAGAGAGAAGTTGTTTTGAGAAGTTGTTTTTATCAGGGCCTAGTTAGTTGGAGAAGCTGAAAAACAGCTTTGTGAAGCTAAGGCAAAAGTCATACCAAATAGGCCCTTAGAGTCCATTTGGCACTGCTCCAACTTCGGCTTCTTGTGGCTCTAGCCACAACCTGAGGAGCTATGTCAAATGACCATTAAAAAACAACTCTTTACAAGGAGCCATGACTGTTTTTGTACTAAGAAGTCGGAGCTGCGAAAACATGGCTCCTCTCGACTGCTCCTTACAAATTTGACACATATTATTATAAAATTATAAAATTGTCATTGGTGTTACTTTTGACAAATATTTTCTAAAACAGCTTGAGCTCCGTTGGAGAAAATGCTCTATAAGAGGAGCGAGAGTCCACCAAACTATTCCTTAGACGTTGCGGGTGGTTGATTCAACACTGTGCCGGCAAGAAAGGAAAACAAGAGTTTACTGCCAAAATTATTGAAAACACACGGGATATTTGGAAATGATTGAGTTTGTTTTCCTTCAATGGTCATATTTTCTTTTTATAACTATAAATTTTGGAAGATGCAATGGCAAGAGAAGGAAAAAGCTATCCTCACGCACAACTAATATATCAATGAAAGGTTCATAGGTGTGAGTGTGCGTACGTGTTGTGGGCGTCTGCGATGTTCCGTGTAATTCATAAAAAAAAAGGTCCAAGATATGAAGATTGAGAGACTACGGTAAGGATTGCTCCCGAAAGAATTCAATGGATAAATCATCAAATATTTGGAAAGAAATAACTTTACCAAGTTGATAAGCATTGCATGGTAACTTGAGGCAGTGAATGTCTCAGCTGCACTGCTGCTACTCTACACGTAGATCTAGACATCGTGGCATACAAGGAATAGGGCTAGGTGCAGCTGACGGGAAATATGAATGAACAGCGAGCAAGCATGCAAGAGGCTGAAGATGAAGATAACCATGTTGGACTAGGCCTGAGTGGGCTTAAACAAGAAGAAATCATTTCAGCCTTGGAAGGAAAAGAAGCAAAGTAGATAGGCCAAAATTGCAAACGTTTCAGCCCATAATAAATGGAATTGTTCTTTCCTTTTTCTAAATAATAGGAAGCCAAGAAGATGTGCACGTGCATTCATAACGATGATCGGTAAACATGGAACACTCTCGGCTTTATGAAAACACTACTAGAATTTTTAGGAACTTTTAGCTTAACAAAAAATTTCCTGTGTGCAAGAACATTTGCGTATGAACATGATATGCCATGCATGATTTTTTTTCAAAAGAAAGAATAACTCAATAATATGCCGAAATGCATTAGAAGTATAATCAAGCAAAATTATTTTTTAAGTACCTTAGGCCTCTAATATTTTCAGGATGTTAGTCGACATTTGGTAATGTACTCTTATTAAGGGGTCAAAGACAAAGAACACAAAACTCACATGCCACGCTTACGCCGCGACGCACGCCAGACACACATAAGTAATTCCAGCTAAGAAAGTATAATCAAGATAGGCGAAATAATACTTTCTACGGGGTATCAGACAATTGTGGCACACATTGATGAATGAGAGTAGTGATCCAAGCGCGCAAAGGCTCACCTTGAGACACATTTGTATTTTGAGCATTGCAAAATAACGTTACACAACAAACTAAAACATAGGTTCAAAAGTAAACCATATTACACCTATCTGTATGCAACTGCAGGTCCAAGTATTTGGATTATTTCTGAAAGCTTTGGTGGTTTCCATTCATAGTACTCAGCAATCAGAACTCAGCATGATGTTGTCAGTACCTGGCAGAAATTTTCCCAAGATGGATACTACTAACAACCTCTCAAGTCTCAAGGCATGGTTTGGAGGATTCTAAACTACATCACTTCTTTACAACACAGCTAAATGAACCAGAGTAACCAAAAGCCTATATTTCTGCTTTACAATACAAAAATGATCAAACTCTTGGATCAATGTGGATATATTTTTTTTTCCTTCCCGGACACTAACCTATGTTAAACTGTAGAAACTTGGCCACAGTCCTACACTTCAGATATTGATATTAATTGAATGATCTTCTGTTATTGACCAATGATATCCTTCCATGTTTTTGAACAAAAACCATACCAGCTGGGTGCTGGAATAAACTACAACTCAGCCAAATCATCAATCATCTCTCGTCCTCCCACCCCGGAATGTTTGCGGTGGCCTCATTGACCATCTTCACAAGGGTGACCTGAAAAAGAAATTCAGATTAAAATACAAATATAGGATGCCCTCGTCAGTAAAATCCCAATGTTACCCTAAATGCTAAATGGTAAACAGTTGGTCACTTGCCGTTTAGCCGTTATTTGGGCTAAACGGCCACTTAAATGGGCAAAACAACCGTTTAAACATGAAACGTTCAATGAAATGGAAATGGCGTACCACCAAGTAGCGTTTAGACGGTGTGTAAATGGGCTAAACAACCGTTTAGGCGAACAGTGGTAAATCTTGATTTTCAATTATACGATTCAAACACACTAAGGCCCTGTTTGGTTGGGCTGTGGCTTTTGGAAAAGCTGCTGTGAGCTGTGGGCTGTGGAAAAGCAACTGTGGAAAAGCAGCTGTGATAAAAGCAGAAGGTCGTTTGGTTAGAGCAGCTGTGAAACAGTAGGCTGTGTAAGAAATACCTGTAATACCCCTAAAGGCCTAGAGATCTGTTTATATGCAAATTGCTCGTAACAAAATAATATATTCACTAATTCACACAAAAATGACTATTTTAGAAAGAAAAAAAATTCTAAGTTTTTCATCAATCAAAGTGACATGGTTCATGTAATTTCACTAAAAAAAACAGGCAATATGTATACTCTCCCTTCTCCACCATCTACTTCCTTTTGCAGTAGAAAATCTAATCGCCGTTGTGATTTCCACCATCTATTTTTACAGTTGTGTTTTCTGTCCAAATAATTTCTAGATATCCTAAAAGCAGCAAGGGACTCGAGCATCACGTGCAGCATCTCGCCATCCCTGTACTCGTTGGCAGATGGAGCACATGGCGTTGTCCTTGGCGGCCCTGCTGGAGAACGCGATGGCCCAGCCATGGACGGCGAGGGGTTCCTCTGCTCCACGCGACGAGCTGCCGCCGCAACTGTCGGATCTGAGCAGCTGCCGGCCTGCGGGCTACAGCAGCCCTGCAACGCGGGCTGGACTGGGACTCGCCGAGCTGATGCCTTCGTCTCGTCAACTCCTTCAATGTCCGGTTCTTCTTCCTCTCAAGACACCGGCCGGCGGGGATGAGCTGCGCGCCGCCAGGGATGGCCTGCGCGCCCAACGGGGCTGCGGGGAGGCATGGGGGGCTGCGGAGCTGAGGCGGGGGCGCCCCCGAAGCGGCGCAGCAGGGCGCCAGCGAGGTCCGGGGCGTGCAGGTGGCGGCGTAGCGGGGCACCGACGAGGTCCCTAGGCGGCGCGGACGGGAGGGTCACGAGAAGAAGGCGTCACGCACGGGAAAGAACGGGAAAAGAACGAACCGGTATCTTCATAACGAGTGGCAGGTGGGTAATTTTTTTCCTCAAAAGCAGCTGAAAGCAGGAGGAGAGATGCTTTTGGATTTGTACTAGAGTGAAAGCTGCTTTTGGGCAAAAGTAGTTGTGGCTTTTGGGTCCTTTGGTTGGCTTTTGGCTTTTGCAAAAGCAAAAGCAGGTTCAAAAGCCCAACCAAACAGGGCCTAAGGCTAAGTATGAAACAATTATAAGGATTGAATTGAAACTGTTCAACACAAATCCCGTAAGTTCACCCTAGCATTTGCAATAAACTTGTGATGCCATTTGCTTCCTCAAGTGTCCACTCCATTGCTGCATGGATTGCCAGCAAAAATGGCAGCAGCTCTGGATGATTAAAAACAATAACATTTCAACAGTGTATTGGCCCAGTTGGATAATACTAGTCTAGAAAAGAATAACAAGGCAAATTTAAGAGGTATATATTTAACATATGCACAACTGGTTTGACCTGCTCTTTCAGAATTTTTAATATGTTGCAATAATCAACAATTGAAGATTTGGCAAGCAAAGCAATTCTACAAAGGTTATGCCGAGGCACTCCCCTCATCCTTCAAAACATTCACCAAGAATCTAATGTACGAAAAGAGGAGTATGACAATTTTTCCCTTTTGTAAGGCAGAAAAACAGTATGCACCTACTTTCAAACTTATTGGGATTTCAGTCTGGCTCTTAACATGTCTGGTCAGATGATCACAATTGTACTAGACTCATGGGTTTTAAGGCGGCAAGGCGAGACATGGCGAACCACTCATTCGAATCGATTAGGCGACAGCCTAGGCAACCATAAGGCGAGGCGAGGCGACACCTTACCATAGTTTTTAAGGCGACAAGGCGAGACGTGGCGAGCCACTCATTTGAGTCGCCTAGGCATCGCCACTCATTTGAGTCGCCTAGGCGATGCCTAGGCGATCATAAGGCGAGGCAAGGTGACGCCATATGTTCAACGCAGGAGAATGGAGAAGGGATAAAAAAGAAAAATGAAAAAGTAAAAGAAGAAGGACAAGGAACATAAAAGGCCCAGTCCAGCAGACAGCCCATAAAAGCCCTCCCCAACTATCCTGAACTATCTAGGGCTGCCACTGCTCCTCTCCAAGTGCTTCTTCTCCCTCTCAAACACCTTCTCAGTATCCACTGCTGGAGCCGCCTCCTTCCAGATCTCCTCTCCCCTTCCTCACTGCTGCTGTCGCCCCCTTCTAGATCTCCCCGCCCCTTCCTCACTGCTGCTGCCGCCCTCCTTCTAGATCCCTGTGCGAGATCCCCTGCTGTTGCCCTTCAAGAGCCCCTCCCAGATCTGCTGGGGAGCAGAGCTGGCGGGGATGGGAGCAGAGATTAGTGGTTAGCCTTGCCTGGTCCTCCTCCAGTTCTTCCTATGTCTCCTCCCTCCCCTGCTCCCTCATTTTGCTGGTTTTGGTCGTGGCGTCGAGGACGCCCAGACTTTTTTCAGCGCCTGGACAACTAGTCGATGGCTTAAAAACTATGCACCTTATCATTCTAAAAATTAGGAAAATAGCAGCAGGGAATAGGCAAGAAAAAGAGAAAAAAAGGAAAAAAAACAGAAAAGGACAAATATAAAGAGAAGTGCTCGGCCCAGCCCACTACGCAGCCCACGAGTGCCCTCTTGTACTTATCCCTTCTCAGGTCACCTCACACGCCGCCTGGGAACTCTCTGCTTCTCCTTCACGCTGCCTGGGAGCTCTCTGCTTCTCCTTCACGCAGGCGCAGCGCCGCGGCATCTCCTCCCTCATGGCTCACACAGGTGCAGCACCGCCCTCCCTCCCTCACGCTGCTCTTGGCTGCACGCGCTCAGCCTGCCCTCCGCTCCTTCCCTACCTCTTGCTGCTGCTCCCTCAGATCCCCCATCTCAATCAACCACTGCCTCCGTCGCAGATGACCCAGGCGGCGTCGGATTTGGTGGGGATGAGCGAGGAGGCAGCTGCATGGCCTTTCCCTATCGTTTTTCTTCCAGTCTCCATGGATATCTCGCTACTTTTGGCTAGGCGTCGGGGATGCCTTACTCCCTGCGAGCGCCTTGTCGCCTAGACGACACCTTAAAAACACTGATTAGAATAAGAGCAAACATGTTGCCCTTTCTGACCAAAAATATAAAGCATAGTAATCATCCTAAAGCTTTTGGTGCTGAACTCATATTACAATAGCATGATTGCATGAATATAAGAAGGGCAGGCCTGATGCAGTGGTGAGAGCTGTCTCACTGCGTCACCAGGTCATGGGTTCGAAGCAGCCTCTCCGCAGATTTTGCGGGGGAAAGGCTTGCCTCGGTTTTTCCCTTCCCCAGACCCCACTCATGTGGGAGCCTCTGGCACTGGGTCTGCCCTTTTTTTATGATTGCATGAATATATACTGATGATTGAAAATGCATATCATTGAGGATCAATCAGTTGTAGATACCAATATGATCACAAAGCCTAAGCTAACAAACGATAGTTTTCTAATATTCATAACAAAAATAGGTTAGAACATCAGGTGATAACAAAATTATCACAAATGATCTTAGATATAAATTATAAATTATGTGATTCTGGTTCATTCAAATTCTACAAAGCAATATCTATGAAAACAGACCTTTCTCACGCTTAGTAAAAATGAACTCAAACACAAGGGTGCAAACAATAGGAGGCAACGTAAATTTCATGAGATAGATGGATCACCTAGCCTAAACGTGACCAACAGTTTACAATGAATCTCCAACAATATATAGAACATGCGCCATACAGGAATAAGACCACTAAGGACAAATATCAATATTCTACATTTGTCACTTTTTTGCAACACACTTGATGGAGCACTTTTTTTTTGGGGGGGTTATGCGTGGGGGTAAACAAGCAAGGACAAATTAATGTGCCAACAAAGCCTGTCAGTCCCAAACAAGTTGGGGTAGGCTAGAGTTGAAACCCACCAAGAGCCCCTAGTGCAACACCTGAGACAAATTTTTATATATTCAACAAGCAGTTCAGAATATAAACATGAAAAAACCAATCATCTATAGAAGCAAAAGAGCAACATGCATCCCCAACGTTACAAATATTATGCACATACCACACTTTCAGGAACTCCTGGAGGGGGCAGTGAAAGATTTCTTGGTGGTGGTGATTGAAGGTAAGATCTTTTGTCAAAACGCCATTCACCGATTTTCCCATAAGTTAGCTGACCCTGAGTTAGCACAAAAAATAGCATAAGCATATCATCTTTCTCTGATGTACATCGATATATTTTACAGAGCAATAGAAAGCATCAGCATGGTTGAATATTTAATAGATGATTAAGGTTGAAGTATTATCACCTTCATTGAATAATCGCATCCATACGTATAATGGATGATGAATGTGTTGTCCGTTTTCAGGTCCCAAGGAGGCTGCAATCATCATCAAGCACATCTTAAGTGAAAAAAACTGCCATCACCCCACTATGAGATGATCTATCTGTATCTAGTGACAAGACTTCTCAGCACCTGAATCATAAAATCTTTACGGAGACTATGGCGCACACCGTGCAGTGCACTAGCAACAGCATATGCATACCTGCAAATATGAAAGGGAAAGAGAAATTAATAGGAATCACATGTTGAAGAGAATAAATAAAAGCAGAGAAGAATTTTATACTGACATTTCCAAGACCCATCCGAATGCTTTGTCTGTCTCCTGATCCTCTTTCATTTTTAATGAAACATTCATCCAGGTTGGAGCAATCTTCTCAAGCTGAGCCTAAAGATGTTTGTGAAGGCATCCATAATAGGTTGGTAAACAGATTGGATCATCATTGATCGATTTCATTGAAACAAAATCAGTATCTACATGTGCAGAACAAATAAAATAATAGAAACCAAGAAGAACAATGTCATGGGCACATATGCTATTTTGGCAACCACCATAACTAGATCAATGTTCTATTGATAATTAGATACCTTCTTGATTATAACTGGAGAGTTGCCAATAGGATCAATATTTGAAACAGGCCCTTTTTCTTCTGGAAAAAACTTCCTCAATATCTTCTCATTATCAGTTGGTTTGATGTAGAAAAATGGAAATGCCGCTGGTTCATCACCATGCGCTAAGTTTGGCAAAGGCTTCACAAAGACATGATCTGGCTCTGCCATTAGTATATACCTGCAAATATTTCAATTATGAGAACATACAAATCCTTCAACCATAATGAGAAAAAAAGGAAATATACTTACTCTTCTACGATCTTTGCTTTCTGGAGCCACTGGACAAACGCCCAAGGCCTATTTAAGACAATATATCCCTGGATAAATCATCGTATCAGCAAGAGCACAAGGTGGTATCATCATAAACTGAAAACAAACACCACAAAAGGAACAACCAAAACCTCACCTTATCCTTGCCTTCAGGAAGGGGGTCAACCACCATGGTGGGTATCTCATCCATCAATCCATCAGGCTTCCCTGAGTGAAGGATCCTAGTGAAGCCACCCATGTCGGAACCAGGTCGGTCCCTCATTTCCTTGTACCAGTAGTGCATTATCCGCGACTGCCACTGACTGTACAGTGCGTCCGTCGCCGTAAGCGCGACGTGGAACCGCTTCGCGGGGTCCGAACCAGAGCCCGTTGAGTCGCGATCCTCGCCGCCGCCGAGGAACTTGCGCGGCCCATCCCGTCCCCGGCCGTGCATCGTCAGGAGGTTGTAGGTCACAAAGAAGCATCCTAAAGAGATGAGGACGAGCAACCAGGGGGAAATCTTGCCCGCATTCTTCCTCCCGCTCATCCTTGACGCCCCAACCCGCAACCAGGGGCGCCGCTACTCCTCTCGAGCTGTGTGCGGCAGCGCCAGCGGGTAACCAATCGCGGGAGTCACCGGGAGCCTGCCGGGAGATAGCGCTGAGTGAGTCGCTAGTCGGATCTGAGATTGGGATCGCCTCCAGC